CACACACACACACCAAAACCATCACCAGTTCAAAAATTTCCACGTAAGCAATTCGATGACATTATATTTTTCAAGTTGCCATTCTGTCGATGTTCTCCACCCAGCCCAACCTGTTGCTACCCGCCAAGTTGATTCTGACTCATGGTGACCCAATACAGGGTTTCTGAGGCTGTAGACCTTTGTATAAGCAGACAGCTTCATCTTTCTTTGAATGAGTGGCTGGTGGGTTTGAACCACCAACCTTATGGTTGTGAGTGCAACACGTACCCAACAGCACCACCAGGGCTCCTCTCACCCCTGGTAACCATTAATAAGTTTTGCTTTCGTGTCTCTATTCATATAGATGGGATCACACAGCATCTGTCCTTTGCCGAGTGACTTACTCATGTTTCACTGAGCGTCATCATGCTTTCATGGCTGGTCCATGTGGTGGCATGTGTTAGGACTTCATTTCTGTTGGTGGCTGAGTAGTATTCCATTGTATGGATAACATCACATTTCGTGCATCCGTTTATCTCTTGATGCGCATTTCGTTCCTTTTTCCTTTTGACAGTCGTGACGTGTGCGTCAGTGAACACTTGTATGGAGGAGGATTCTCTTTGTTTCCTGCCTCCACTTCTTTTGGAGGCTATGTATCTGGGCTTGGGCTTGCTGGGTCATGAGGTAGTTCTCTGTTCAATGTTTGGAGAAACCAACAAACTGTTTTCCACAATAGCGGTTCCATTTTCATTCCCACCAGCAATTGTGGAGGCTTCTAGTTTCTCCACTGCTCTTCTGATGGCCATGAGGTGGTATCTCATTGTCATTATAATTTATATCTCCTTAATGTCCATTGAAGGCACAGTGGTTAAACATTCAGCCTCTATCTCACCAAATGGTCAGCAGCAATTCAAACCCACCAACCCCCTCGTGGGGAGACAACCATGGCTGTCTGCTTCTGTAAAGACTTCCAGGATGGGCATCCCTAGGGAGCAGTGCTGCTCTGTCCTGTGAGGGAGCAGCCACTCGCTGCAATTGCTAATGCTGTTGAAAAGAGCGTTATGTGCTCATTGGCCATTTGAATGAATACCCTCTTTGGATTAATGTCTATTTAGGTCCTCTTTCCATTTTGTTAAGTTTTTTTTTTTCCTAAATGTATTTTGGATGTTGTACTTTTTTTAAAAATCATTTTATTGGGGGCTCGTACAACCCTTATCACAATCCATACATCCATCTGTTGTGTCAAGCACATTTGTATATTTGTTGTCATCATCGTTTTCAAAACATTTTCTTTCTATTGAGCCCTTGGTGTCAGCTTCTCATTCCCCCCCCTTCCTCTTCCACCCTCCCTCCCTCATGAACCCTTGATAATTTATAAATTATTAATATTTTTTCATGTCTTACACTGACCGATGTCTCCCATCACCAACTTTCTTTCCTGTTGTTCATCCCTCTGGGAGGGGGTTATATGTAGATCATTGTGATTGGTTCCCCCTTTCTCCCCCCACCTTCCCCTTACCTTCCTGTTATTGCTTCTCTCAATATTGGACCTGAGGGGTTTATCTGTCCTGGATTCCCTGTGTTTCCAGCTCTTATCTGTACCCATGTACATGCTCTGGTCTAGCTGGATTTGTAAGGTAGAATTGGGGTTGGGGTCATCATGATAGTGGAGGGGAAGAAGCATTAAAGAACTAGAGGAAAGTTGTATGTTTCATTGGTGCTATACTGTATTCTAACTGACTCCTCGCCCCGCAACCCTTCTGTAAGGGGATGTCAAGTTGCCTACAGATGGGCTTTGGGTCTCCACTCCGCCCTCCTCCTCATTCACAATGATAGTATTTTTGTTCTGGGTGTTTGATGTCTGATACCTGAACCCATTGACACCTCATAATTACATAGGCTGGTGTGCTTCTTCCATGTGGGCTTTGTTGCTTCTTAGCTAAATGGCCATTTGTTTGTTTTCAAGGCTTTAAGACCCCCAAACGCTTTATCTTTTGATAGCCGGGCACCATCAGCTTTCTTCACCACATTTGCTTATGCACCCACTTATTAGGCATTTGATTCCCAAAAGTTTTCTCCCAAAGCAGTTACATTTTTGGAGATCCCGATGATCTATTTTGGCCTTTGCTGCTTGTACTTTGTTGTCTCTTCCTCAGTGTTTGTAGCCTTTACCAGTGAAGCCACCTGGGGCTGAGGCTGTCCTTTGGGAACCATCCCTGTGTCCCAGGCAGTCTTCAAGTTGACTTAGGTGGTGGATTGGTGTTGAGTAGCCATCCTGCAGGTCAGTCTTGGTCCCTGCCCCATTTCCATGGAGACCCTAGACCTGAACTGTTTTGAGAGGAGCATGACGTTCGCAGCTGGAAGAGGAGGACTTGTTCAAGAAAGAGGGCTCAGGACAGTACAGACTGTCCTGTGGGGGACTTCTTCTTACAGAGGACTCACCCACCCAACAGTGCTGGTGTTTTTAATTTGCTGAATTATCTGTATGGCTCACTTGGATTAATGATTAATACTGACACATTTTTCACTCTCTATCTCAGTTGAATTACTGGCGTATAAGGTCGAGCAGGAGAAATGCATAGCCAGTGATTTACAGAAGACACTGAGTGAGGAGCAGGAGAAAGCTACTAGCGTTCGGAAGCTGCTTGTGTTGGAGCAAAATGCCGTCAAAGATCTCAAATCTGAGCTCTGCGAGTGTAAACAGGAAAACGAAAGGCTGCTTAAGTCCCTGAATGACGTGCAGAAAGAGGTCCTCCAGCTGAGGTGTGGAAGACGGTGAATTACCATCAAATATACATTGCCTGTTAGCCCCCTTCCAGCTTCCCCTTGTGTTAATAGTTTTCATGAGATAGTAAACATATATATACATATATCACACTCACACACAAGAGCTATGTAGTTCTTGACACATGTTTTCTTGGCATCTAAGTAAAATAGAGTATTGCGTGTGCCATGAACTGTGCAAGGTGCTTCTGTAACTTCTAGAACAGCTCCTGCTCTTACTGAGTTTATGGCCAAGGGAGAAGGGATCCCCACCATATGCTCACTGTCAGATGATGACCGGTCCTATCCTTGGGGTGAGTTTGGTCTACCCATCTCCCAGTGCCAGTCCATTCACATGTCTCCACAAAGAGCTCTGACCAGTGCCCTTGGTGGATGTCCTCCCAGGTCAGTGCTGGACACTAAAGAGAAGGACCTTGCGGCAGTGCTGGAGAAGTTGGATGCTGAGCGTGGGAAGGAACGCGCATTGCAGAGCCGGCTGGAGGAGGAGCAGCTACAGCACCTGCAGAAGGAGGGCCAGAGCTCTCGGGCCCTGGAGGTAATTTTACAGCGGCAGTGCAGTTCCCTTGCTGGCTCCCTCTCCCCATACCCTGGGAGCCCACATGGGTGAGCCATGGAGGAGGATTCTGGCAGCAGAAGGACTTGAAGTGGGGGCAGAGCAGTGTGTCTGATAAGACAGTTAATATCTCTGTGATGGGAGATAGCAGGGCTCCAGTGAGATGGCACAATCTCACCAGCTCTGGGACACGCTTACGAAAGTAGGTGCCAGTCTCCACTTGACCATCACTGGCCATGAGCCCACAAGTCTGAGTGTATGGCCCAGGGTGGTGGTGTTAGCATGGCTTCACTCTGTAATAGTGCTTCTGCTAATGAGTTTAGCTTGTCTGTTTGGTGGTTTGGGTGCTCATTTGTGCAGTGTAGGCTGTGTGCCGATGCATGCATCAGTGATGGTGAAATGTCCTTCCGGAGCATACTAGACTTTGAGACATGCAGGACATGTGTTTATCTACGTGTTCCTGGAGCAGGTATTGTCTCTGTACCCAAGGCATTCGTCTGCACTTCGCCTGCCCTGCTTTCCAAAGAGCAGCTCACTATGCTTAAGGATTGTGAGGAACCCCGTGTGTGTTTCTTCCTCACGGAAGTCTGGCACGAAGACTGCTGTGCGGTGCCATCGAGTAGGCCCCAGCTCTTTATACACAGCAGAATGAAACCTTGCTGGTCCTGGACCCTTGTCACACTTGCTGTTGTGCAGGAGCGCATTGTCAAACCAGTGTGTCAGTCCATTTCATTGAGGGTCTTCCTTTGTGTTACTGGTCCTCTCCTGCACCAAACATGATGTCATGGTATCCTCCAGGGACTGGTCTCACCTGACAACCTCACTACTCGTTTCTAAGGAGTATTCTCCCTGTACTACTTCTAAGAAGAATTGTTTGTTCTTCTGACAGCCCACAGTACTTTCCATATTCTTCACCCACATCAGAATCAAGCGCACCGGCTCTTCTGTAGTCTTCCTTATTGAAAACACCCTGAGTTCAGTCAGGCATTTCTTAGTTCTCAAAGTGACATCTTTGCTCCTTAACCTTTCAAGTGGTTTTGTGCAGCAGATTTGCCCAGTGCAACGTGTGACTTTTTGACTACTGTTTCCCTGAGCCTTGATTGTGGGTCCAAGAAAAATGAAATCCTCGACAACTTTAGTGCTGCTTCTGTTTCGTAACATAATCGTCTTTTGATCTAGTCACGAGGATTTTTGTTGTAATTTTTTGTTTTGTGATCCACACTGAAGGCTGTAATCTTTGATCTTCATCACTAAGTGCTTCAAGCCCTCTTTGAGCAAGCAAGGTTATGTCATCTGCATATTTTAGGTTGCGATTGAGGCTTCCATTAATCCTGATGCTAAGTTCTTCTTCATACAGTCCAACTTCTCAGATTGCTTGCTCAGCATACAAATTGAATAAGTACAGTGAAAGGATACAACCTTGACATACATTCTTCATGTTAAGCCATGCAGTGGCCCCCTTTTCTGTTCCAGCGACTGCCTCTTGGTCTTTGCACAGTTTCTGCATGAGTCCTGGAATCCCCATTCTTTGCAATGTTATCTGTAGTTTGTTAGGATCCACACAGTCAAATGCCTTTGGAGAGTCAGTAAAACAAAGTAAACATCTTTCTAGTATTCTCTGCTTTTAGCCAAACTCTATCTGATGTCTGTGTGCTATCCCTTACTGCTAAGTCTTCTGTACCGGCTTGAACTTCTGGGACCTCCTGCATCCATTTTTCAAATTATCTTCAGCAAATTTTATGACACTGTTTAATAATTCCCACAGGAAAACAAATCAGATATTTTTCTTCTGGATCTGATTCTACTATTTCTTACTTCCGTACTGCAGGATTTGCGAGCATCTCTGGAAAAACAGTATTCTCAGAATAACAGACTATGTGTGGCATTAAAACATGAGCAGACGGCAAAGGACAACCTCCAGAAGGAGCTGCAGATTGAGTGTTCTCGCTGTGAGGCACTGCTGGCGCAGGAGCGCAGCAAGCTGGCTGAGCTGCAGAAGAGCGTGGAAGTGGAGCAGGGTCGCGCTCGGGAGCTCTCCGAGGCCCTTGCCCATGAGCGCCTGCTAACTGAGCAGCTGAGCCAGAGGATGCAGGAAGCCTCACTGCCTCAGGCCCTGCTGCAGAAGCTTGGGGCAGAGCAGGCTCGTGTGGCAGAGCTGCAGGCCCTGCTCGAGCGTGTGCAGCAACAGGCTGTGCACACCCAAAAGCGGCTGGAGGCCGAGGTGCAGACGCGCAGTGAGGAGCTCACACGGGAAAGGGAGGTAAGTTCCAGCCTGGAGGTGACCATGGAAGCCCTGCAGACCCAGAAACAGGAACTGAGGTGCTCTCTGGAGAAGGAGAGGGAGAAGCCAGCACAGTTACAGGCAGAATTAGAGCAGTTACAGGCAAGATTGAGAGAGCAAGATGCACGCAAAGAGAGGAAGAGGAGAGCGGAGCCAAGACAGAGCCATGCAGACTCGGAGAAGTGGAAGAAGTGGCAGAGAGACAAGGAGAGACTGGTGAGCACTGGCTCGTCATCGATACAGGGCCCAGAAAGCACAGGAGGGATGGCAGACGGCACATCTCTGTGCACAGACCTTATACGAGGGCTCTTTCTGAATTCTCAATCCTGTCTTGACTGGTAGTTCTCTTTTTGTACAAGGGCCGCCCAATCTTGGTTACTGTGACTTTGTACTCAGTTTTTAAATCAGCACGTATGAACTCTCCCACTTTGTTCTTCACATTGGTCTTTTTGGTTGTCAACATTTCTTGAATTCCCCCGTATTTCCATAGGAACATTTGTTTAAAGACCCTTGTTTTCCCCAGCAAAGTTAGATTCTGGTACAGGGACCTTGAGCATTTGCTCATTACTTTCTGTCGACCCTTACACAGGAGCAATAAGTCAGTGAAATGGCTTTTCCATTTACTTAGGATTTCTTTAAAGAACATTTTGTAGTTTTTGGTAGTTTATACTTCTTTTGCTAATTTTATTTTCAATTAAATGGTTTTCATATTCATAATTTTATCTTCAGACTATTCCTTGCTAGTGTAAAGAAATACCGTAATTTTTTATAATTTTGCTAACCTCGTTTACTATTTCTAATAATTTGTGTGTGTGTGTGTGTGTGTGTGTGTGTGAACTCTCTAAGATTTTCTACATAGCAGATCATGTCATCTGTGAATAGGGGTCATTTTACTTGTTCTTTTCCTTTTTTTTCCTTCTTGCCTAATTGCTCTGGTTATCACCTCCAGTACAGTATCTTGTTCCTCATCTTAAGGGTAAAGCTTTCAGACTTCCACTGTTACGTAGCAGAGTGAATTTTATAGATGCCTTTTATCAGGTTGAAGAAGTTAACTTTTTTATTCCTAGTTTGTTTATTGTGTTAGTCTGGGTTGACTAGAGAAACAAATCCATAGACACTCAGATGTGGGTAAGAAAGAGCTTTATGTACAAGAGCAATTGAATATTGAGGAAAACATCCCAACCCAGTCCACATCAAGTCCATAAGTCCGATATTAGCCCGTATGTCTGATACCAATCTATAAAGTCCTCTTCAGACTCATGAAACACATGCAATCACACCGAATGCTGGAAGATCATAGGTCAGTGGGTGGAAAGTCATGTGGTTCCAGTTGGCGGTAGAAGCATCTCAGTGCTGGTGTGGGTCTCCACGTGGCTCCTCTAGCTACAGGGCTCTAGCGTAGCTCCATGTGGTTTGTCAACAGGAATGTCTCACAGGGAATGAGCATGGTGTCCTGCCTTCAGCTATTTATCTCCCTAGCACCTCCAAATGAGGTCATCAAGCTGCAGCCTGATTGACAGACTAAACTCTACCCCTTCATTCTTAAGTCTCAAGTTGACAACAGATTATGTAACTACCACAGACCACCCCTTGTCAGCTTAACACTTTAACATAACTCTTTAGCCATATATAATTTTCAAACAATCATTAAATCCTATCTGTACCTAACAGGATAAAACTAAAATGCATACAATTATAAAATGTGCCACCCTCATTTAAACAACAATCTATAAGTGAACTAAACAAAAATATCCTATACTTATGTGAACACCTACACCACAGTCCGATGGACTTATTCCTATGAATATATCCCCCCACTATGAAAGTTTGTAAGCCAACCACTTCATGCCTTTATCCTCCCCATTTTGGGTATCCAGTTTCTGTACTGCCCACTTACATCAACCCAGTGCTCTGAGGAGACAATCATATTCTTTGACGTGAAGAATCTTCGCCCTAGTTGGAACTTTGTGAAGTCTACATGTGTAAGCAAAGTCAAATCAGGACAGGCCGTCCATAAAGTCAGCAGCAATATGCACCAGTTCACAGGCTGAAATGTCTTCTCTTCATCTGATCGGGTTCTGGTTAACTCAATTTGAGCTGCTTCCTTTCGCCTCAGCAGGGTGCCCATTGGTTGCCTCGCCTTTAGACCATGCCCTGTCACACTCTCAACAGCCCCAGCCCCCTTGGGCTAGGTTATGCCGTAGGCTCAGGTTTACACAACACTGTAAACTTCAGACCAGCCAACCTGCTCTCGTCTTCTCCTCTAGTTTATTGACATTTAAAAAAACCCGAAAACAACTTTGGAATATTTATTCTTAATCACTGGAAGTCTTAGCAGGAAATGTTTTGTTCATGTAGACACGTGTTTGTGTGTGTGTGTGTGTGTGTGTGTGTGTGTGTTCATAACACTCCGGGAGTGACTTTTGCTTCAAGTAGCTGGGTTGATCTAAATCCTGAACTCTTTCTCTAACTTACCTCCTGAAGCACTACTCATTTTTATATTCGGATATAAAATATAAAGAAGTATGCTTACCATTGGAGCTCACCTGCCTCTGAGAGCAGCAGTCTAGTTCTTTCTTGAGCAAAATGGACCTTGTCAGTTCCTGTGTCTTCCTTCCTTCCTTCCTTCCTTCCTTCCTTCCTTCCTTCCTTCCTTCCATCCATCTGTCTATCCTTCCTTCCATCACTCCCGTCTGCCGCCTTGAGTACAATGAGGTGTGTGCAGCCTCGGTGCACTGTAACCAGTGGAACCCACCTGCTAATCGTAGTGCCATCTTCCAGCCTCAGTGCAGCTCCAGTGCACATTTCTGTGTGGGGTGGTGTGGTGACTTGCTCGGGCCGTCTTGGTAGGAGACTTGTGTACAGAAGGGTGCCTGCCCCTCACCGGGTTCTGTTCTGTCCCACCTGGGCCTCTCTGTGTGTGTTGCCCAGTGTTAGGTCTTTCTCATGGCACGTTGGTAGTGGGAACGGGATATGTGACAGCCCTTTGTGTTGTTTGCCATTGATGACAGCGAGAACTAGAATTGCAGCGACAACGTGATGAACATAAGATCGAGCAGCTTCAGCGGACAGTGAGGGACCTGCAGTTGAAGGAAGACTTGCGTCCTGGCAGTGGCCGTTGCTCGTCTTCACCCGGAGGTACCAGCCACGCAGAAGTGCGCTTCCCATCGGAGCTCAGCTGCCTCCGCGAGCAGCAGGAGGAGCTGGAGAAGATAAGGCAGCAGCTGCTATGTGCCGCCGGGCTCCTGACCAGCTTCACCCACCAGACTGTGAACAGGTGCACACGTGCTCCTTAGGACTCCCCAGTGCAGTGGAAGTGCTGCATTGTCAGATTAAGAAAAAGCATGAGGTTTTGGCAAAATAAACACATTTTTTTTACTTTCTGCTCCGTTTTACTGAAATGTACACCCTATTTCCTTTTTTGAGTGTAATTAATTTTATTTAGTGGGTAGAACTCCCTGGAAGATATTGACAAAATATTATTTTTTCTGCATCTTAATGTTAGAGAAAATCTTGTGGCTCACAGTACCTGACCTTCGGGATTCCACATTCCCTTTGATAGTGGCTCTGTGTCTGTACACATGTTTCCATGTGTTGACCTGCAGGCCCTAACCATTACTCTAGCCTCCAGGCTGCTAGAACTGGAGCCAGAACTGGGGCAATCTGAGTAACTGGACAGCGAATGTAGATCTTTCTCTTCTTTCTGAGACACAGAGAGCAGCTGTCGGTGTGCTCCTGTTGTACTTTGCGTTTGAGGTATAGAGCAGCCTGATTATCAAGCCAGCTTCATTTTGGCAGATTTCTGCTCAGAGCTCGCTGGAGTGACTGCTTGCTAAGGCGGCCGTGTCACCGTTGCCACCGATGGTGCATGTGTAGGCTGCCCAGGCCCCTGGCCTCTCTGCTGATGACCGACATGTAGACCAACCAGTCGTTCTTGCAGCAGCTTTCCCGGCCAGCCTGCAGGCTCCCCATTTGGTCCATGCTGCATAGGGGTCGTGTAAAAATTCCTTGTCTTGCTCTTGCTACAGCAGAGGTGTCATGGATAGTTTTAGAGAAATGGTCAGTCAGTGTCCATGTGAACACTTAAAATGCACATTTATTTTTATAGAACAATTCATGATTGGACATCATCAAATGAGAAAGCAGTGGCTTCATTGCTGCAGACCCTGGAGGAAATGAAATCTGACCTGGGCGCCTCTATCTCCTCTCAGGTGAGTAATGGGCTCACGACATGGCCTGTCCCTGCCCTCTCCACCAAATCTCGTCCCTGCCTCGTTCCCCCCTGCTTTGCGACCTCATGTCCTACCCCTTTCCATCCCCGCTGCCACTCTCCTTGCTGCCCTGCATTCCTTGCTCTCATCTTTCCTACCCCACATCCTCCCCCTCTTGACATCCTCCTGCCCACAATCAGGGCCCTCTGACCCCAGCCACTGTGCCCT